GGAGATGAGGCAGGTATCTGGAGTGGGGCTCCTCCTGGGGCTGATGGCTCTCCCAGCGGCGCTGGGACAGAGAAGCTCGGGAAGCTCTATAAATAGCAGCCATCCTGAAAGCTTTGCCATCGTCTCTTTCAAATGGGATCACGTCAAGGACCCTTATATCATTACACTCTGGATACTTGTGGCCAGCTTGGCCAAAATTGGTGAGTCCGGGGTTATATATTGATACGTATCCTCTCCCTTTCCCTTCCCCTTTTCCCACCCAGCGTAAATGAAGAAAGCTTGTCGTAAGTCCAGTGACCCTTTTTCAGGAGGTTTACTGTACTCTGTCCTGGTTTCATAATACTGCCCTACACGTGTGGTGCTTAGCAGTGTGATTTTCACCTGCCCCAGTAGGTTACCTGGTTCATTTTCGGCACCTCGGACTGTGGCTTTTGCATCTGACCCCTTGCAATTCCTTGAATCCTTGCGTTGCGGGTGCTCCCGGGGGAAGAACTTACAGAAGTGAAAGAGAAATCGGCCCTTATTGCTTGTAAAATACCTAATCCAGTTTATGATATGCTGATTACGGTTGGTAGCTATATTAGCTAGCACCATCAAGAATAAATGCTGTAAACTCCAATATTGCAGTGCATTGCTGAATTAGCAAAAGAGCACAGTTTACGGAGAAAGGTAATATATATTAGCAGACCATCTGATGCAGCTCAAAAAACACAAGCTTTAGAGCACACAGAATTTTCTTCATGAAATTGGAATCAGTGAAAAGGACGCAAACTACACTGAAGTTAGATTAAGTGAATTTATATGAATGCCCTAACTCTTGTGTTCTGAACTTGGTGACATTTCCAAAAGCAATCTCGTATTAACAACACTGCTGAATGAGAGGAGTCGCTGTCTAATTTGAATGTGTTTTATTTGCTTGATGCTATTATTTTCAGTCCTTTTACCTTTGGATCTAGAACCAGACCTCCATTTTTTCTGACATTTTCAATTTTCAATAAATTGTCTCTAAAATCAGTCTCAACTCAGAAAGTATGATCAGCTGAAAATCCTACTTATACTACTTTGTTCTTGTACTATTAATACTGATCTGGGATACCAGAATGACATTTCATGAATTTGGCATGTCACAGAGAATGGAAGATGTAAAAAAAGTCTACTTGGGTGTATGTGGTCTAGCACATAAACCAAACACAGTAAGGCTTGGGTGGAAAATGCTGGCTTCAAATCCAAATAAAACTTTTTTTTTTTTAATGAAGAGTAAGTTCTGGAGAAGTGATATTGTAAAGTAGTTTTTCAGTGATACCTGCATCTTGAGTTTCACTTGCTTAACCATACACATATATACATAGAGGTACACTAACTATCTTTATCTAGATCACTGTTGGACTACACTTTGCAAATAATTTGTGTTCAGGCAGTTGCTGCAAAAATACAGTTTGTTTTAACTGACATCTATTGGTGGGTTATATAAAGTAAAAAGCTGGGAAAACCAGATATAAGAAAAAACAGTGACAACATTGGGTCGCTATGAAATTGTGCTAACTAAATAATACACAGGTTGCTCATTTGAACCTTCTTTTTGAGACACTCTCCTAAATAAATATTTGCCTTTTGTGTTAAGGATTTGCTGCTCTGTACATGTGCCACGGCTGTACAGAGTAATATTAGTGCTGCATAACCATATGAGTGCTGTGTCAGAAAACCAGTGAATCTAACAGGACAGATACATTGTCCTATATTTAAATTGCAATGGCCTGGATTAAGATTATCTTGGATTAAGATGAGTCATTTTACCACAAAGTCTTCAGTACAAACTCTTGTTAAAGCACTAATTGTCCTTGGAGGTCAGGAGCTGAATGTTGCTGGTTCTGTTTTTAAATTATTCACACTTCTTTCACAGCTGCACAGAGCATGGCACTTACTAGTAGATAGTATCTATCATTGAACCCATCAGGTTTCTTTTCCCAAAGCTCTCAAGCTTCATTCTTTTCTCTCTTCACATTTGTAATTGCAATCCTATACTACTCTGGACGTTGTCTCTGAAGAAGGAATGGACAACTGCTATATTGCACTGAGCACCTATGAACGTTCCTGCTTTCCCCACCAGTCACAAATAAAATACAGAAAAGTAGACATCTGCATTCACAGTTCAACAGTTCATTAATGACGAAAGCATGAAGGTGTTCATATAAATCAATGAGAAAGGGAACTGAAAAAAAACCAGCTTGTCAGCTTTCTGTCTGCCTTGATGTGTCAAGGGTTCTGGGAAGTAAACCAGAAATGTACCAGAAGATTTTGAATGGCAAAAATGCTGTGCTAGGTCAAAGAAGTTTTATGTGTTCAAAAAACAGGCAGAAAGGACCGAAGAAGAATATATATAACTTCTGCCCTGTGTCTCTTGCTTTACTAACTAAAGGAGGGCAAAGGTAGTAGAGTCAAAATACTGGTTTTGCTGTGGGTTTTCCATCAGGGCAGTAGCTGTTCTTACACATGGAAGCTCACTTCTTCATGGCTACAGAGGTTGGGAGAACCATTCTACTAGTGGATGACAGGCAATTGGGTCAACATAGGGTGGTTCTGGGGACTGCAATTGGTAGCTAGGGATGAAAAGTATGTGAGAATACTTTGCCTTCTCTTGCATTAGAATAATCTTAGGGGGTTGTGTTTTTTTTGGTTTATTTGCTTGTTTGGTTGGTTAGTTTTTTCTTGCCTCTCCCCACACCCCAAAAAAAAAAAAAGGTTTTTTCTTGCCTCCCCCCACCGCCCCCCCCAAAAAAAAAAAAAGAGAAGTTTTAGTTCATGATGTTATATGGCTTGGGGAAATGTGTATTTAATAGGAGATTTTTGTGCATATTTTGGGACTTGATGTTCATGTTGTATATATTCAGAATGTAAATTGATGCCAACAAGTTATTCTGCAACATAAACTGTTGCATGTGAAACCTCATAAGCACCCCAAATACATGAAGAAGTGCCTAGTGTTTTGGGCACTGTGGGAAAGAAGCTGCTTTTTTTTTTTTTTTTCCCATCTGAAGAATACTTGCATGTCTTGGGCAAGTCTAGGTATTGCTACAAGTGAAACTGTGGAAGAAGAGTCTTCATGTAGTTGGCTTTCATGCACTATAGGAAATAAATCAATTTGTGTCTACTACGAAACTTCTGATGCATCTCTGTACGGTTTCACATACTATAGTTGATTTGATATGAAACTTCTGATGCATCTCTGTATGGTTTCACATACTATAGTTGATTTGATTTGACCTTCTTCATTTGAAATGTTCCAACTCTTCATTCTAAGGTACACAGTGTTCCATTTGGGCTTTATTTCCTCTTTTGATAGACTCTCTTATCACTACAAATGAGTATCCTTATGGGATAAGGCCAATAAACTACTTACATGTGTAAAGCTAAGCCAGAAAAACATCTTATCTACATGAAGAAGTTACATGAGTACAGCTGAGAACCCTCCTAGTGTTCTAAGAGGACACCTTCAGGTGTCCACTTCCTGGTACCTCAGTTCTCCAGGTGAAACAAGCAATACCAATGAAAAAAACCCAAACAAATACATACATGTATGTATATGTAGTTACAGACTAGGGCATTCCTTACTGTAACTACGTTGATAAAGGATGTAACATTTTTAATCAACATGCCTGAACAGTGTAGTTGTGATTTAAGATTGAAGACACATGCATACTTACCAGCCTTGCACAGGCTTCCTAAGTTCACTTTGTCATGTGCTCTCCTCCTTCTTAATATGTCTTTAATAGGTGACATCTTGAAAATAGCATTTTGATAAACAAACACGTAGAGGATACAGCAGCAGTAAAGTCTGCTACAGAAAGAGCCCAAGTAGAGTGGAAGAATGGAGATCAGAAAACAACTTTGGAAAAAATTAACAGCAAAGGAATAATCATCCCAGGAGCTAAAATATGGGCAAGAGAAAAATAGTTTGAACTCTGAATATTGTATACAATTTTTTCTGAGGGTATTTCAGAGGTCATGTCTATTGCAAAAAAAAAAAAAAAAGATAAAAAAGTATGCTTTTTACCATGGGATATCCACTGCATGCTTCTATACATGTCCAAAATCCTAGGAGACAAAGAGAGATTGTATTTATATTTTCACTGGAAGTTAGGGAACTTATAAAATTTCTACTTGTGTCTGGAATCCTTTTGTGTGCTATAACATTTTTCAGAAGGATAGTTAATTTCTTGTCCCAAAACAAAGCTTTAAAAACCTACGAAACAGTCTCTCTGTTTCGCACCCTGAACTTGCTCAACCTGGAGCAGATAAGCAACCTTAAGAAATGGTGGGAGAGTGAGTGACAATGAACAGGAATGAGGAAGGGTACATAGCCTTTTCATTATCTGTGAGTCAAACCTGTTGCCAACTGTTTTCCTTGGTATAGTTTATGCTGAGTCTAAGAATGTCACAAAAGCTTTTTTTTTTTTTTTATGTCAGTGTAGTTGTGTACAAATTCTAAAGGCTTTTATATTAGAAATTTATAAGTGGGGGTGAAATTTGAATCCAGGGCAGCTGGTAAATCCGTCTTCACGAATGCCACAATGCTTTGGAGGAGGGAGAAGTGATTCAATAACAAGGAGCAAATACTTAGGAGAAGGCTGGCCTAGTGATATCTCAAAAAGATACTGGGTCAGATGGGCTCGTTGAGTTCATCAGCTCTTGAGACCCCAGGAGGATGAGTTGTAAAGCACACTGTATCTCTAAGCATACAGAGATACGGGTTCCTACAAATGCTCCAGTTTCTGCATGCCCAGGCCCTTTATATTGCCTCAAACTACTCTGAGAAAGGAGCACTTCAGAGTATTTTCTTAACACAAACAATTGCTGTCGAGAATTTTAAGCATGTTAGGGATGGGCTAGGGAAGGAACTGTGAAATGCAGGTCTAACAACCCATCCAATTTAGACTCCTGGGGCAATATTTTCTTTGAAGAAATCAATACATCTCCCTCCAAAGCAAACTGTCAAAACAAAAGCCCATTTGACTCGCAAGTTTCTCCTCCTGGCATTTCAGCACTAGTGAGAACTGCCAATTCTTTAGAGAAAGTGATTTAGGGTATTGTTCTAATAAAAGTGAAAAATGTGAGAATAGCTCTTCTGCGGGCAGTTCTTCAGTAAATAACATCTTTAGGAAGAAATATTGAAGGATGTTTAGCAGAGCCTTATTGGAAGTAC